TTCCTCAGAATTGTTTCTAAGTGTTTAGTAAACACTTGGACAAATCCCTAAAGAAACCTTCGCCTGACCAACAGCCCGGGTTTCAGCGCCTGTGTCGGCTATCCGGGATGCTGTGGTGGGTAGGGATTGTTTCTTGATTGCTTGATTCTTCCGTGGGTGTGATAAATGCCCGCTTCGTCCTGGTCATCCTCAGGATTGTGATTCTTTGTTTTATACCAAGCGTTGGTGCTTCAAAGGACTGTGGCCGATGAAGGTTACCTCTCGCGTGTCACCCAACTGATTCGGTTAGGGTTTTATAGGCGTATGTTTCGGCCTTGACCATTCCCTTGTGGTGTGTGGACGTGTCGTCCATGTTATCTGTCAGTGGTACTACACTTGTGTTCAACTGATATGTACTTGGCCTAGTTGGGCCTGAGTTGTGGGGATTTTATTTTTTCATTGCTCGAGGCCGGCTAGTGTGCACGGCCGTCGGCTTCCCTCTTTTTCCCTTATATATATATATATTTTGTTTTTGTTTTCGGGGAGTATCCTTCTTTCAGGCTTCGGCCGAAGGGTGTGCTCGTCCTTCGGTCGGTTCGGACTTCGTTTATAACGTCCGTGATCTCAGGGCGGGTCCCGTCGCCTATTTATGACGCGGGCTAGACTTTTGGTCGGTTTCCAATGGCTGTCGTTGCCCATCCCTGAGTTTTGGGATTTTGTCACCTCGGCCATGATTTCAGGCCTGTCGTCCTGCGATCTGGCGCGTGGACGACGCGGTGAGCTTCCCGTTTCAAGATGTGGGCCGTTTGCGGGCCCCTCGTCCTGGGGACATCGTCGGCCATACCTGAGCGTTTCACTTCTAGGCTTACGGGGCCAGGACGATGTGCTCTCTCAGCTAGGCCTGAGCCCTTCGCTGATACAAAATACAATGGGACGCCTGATCTTGTCGATCGTAGGCTGCAAGTGCAAGGGGCCCCGTCGGCCATGCCTGAGCCTTTTGCTCTGAGGTGGCCGATGAGGGCACCTGCTAACGTTTTTTACTTTAAATTCCAGAGAAAAAATCAGGAACATGATTTTATTCATAAGTGGCTCGAGGCCGAGGGTGGCGTTCAATCAGTAACCCGTCAAGGGGTGAGGGCTTCGCCGTCTGCACCTCCTTCAGATTACTGATAAAACTTCACCAGATGGTGTACATTCCACGTTCGTGGTACATTGGAACCATTCGGGCGTTTAAGCTTGTAGGTGCCACCTTTGACCACGGCTCGGACGTAAGCTTGCTCACGCCTCTCATCGACCAGGTGCAGGTCAATCTTCATGTTCTCTTCGTTGGCGTCAGGCTCATATTGTTCCACCCGTCGGCTGGGGATGGCAACTTCCGTGGGCGCCTTTGCCTCGAAGCCGTAGCATAGGGCGAAAGGCGTTTCACCCGTCGCCCTCCTTGGCGTGGTTCTGTAGCACCACAGGATGTTGGCGAGCTCGTCGACCCAACTACCTCCTGCGGCCTGGAGCTTCTTCTTCAGCCCCTCCATGATTGTTCTGTTGGCGTTCTCGACCTGCCCGTTACCCTGAGGGTAGGCAACGGAGGAGAAACGATGCTTCACCCCAAACTCCCGGAGGAGCTCCTGGAAAGGGGCTGCCTCGAATTGGGTGCCGTTGTCTGATATAACCTCCTGGGGGACGCCGAAGCGTGTGATGATGTTCTTGTAAACAAATTTTTGGCATCTGGCCCCCGTGATGCTGGCCAGGGGTTCCGCCTCGACCCACTTGGTGAAGTAGTCGACGGCGACGATGATGTAGCGGTTATTCCCGGCGGCTCTGGGCAGGGGGCCGACCAGGTCAATCCCCCATCTAGAGAATGGAATTGCGGTGCTGACGGGGGCGTAGTTGACGACTGGCCGACCAGGGGCCTTCTGGAGCACCTGGCACGTGGTACACTTCCTGGCCAGATCCGCGCAGTCTCGCGCCATCGTCGGCCAGAAGAAACCCTGGACGACGAGACGTCGGGACATGCTGAAAGGGCCCTGGTGCGAGGAGAAGACGCCGCAATGAACTTCTTCCATGGCCATGTCGGCCTCGTCCTGGTGCAGGCATCGGAGGAGAGTGCCATTATAGGACCGTTTGTAGAGTTTGCCATCTTCGATGGTGTAGCTTGGGGCCCTGAGTTTGGCAAGTTTGGCCCTCTCCTCGTCCGGGGGCAGCTCTCCCGTTGCGATGAAGGTGACGATGTCAGAGATCCAGTCCGCTGGTCGCTGTTGGACGCATAAGACGGGGCTGGCATGGATGCTGGACATGCTCAACTCCTCGATCTTGGCTAGCTGGGAGATGTGCTCCGGGGTGTCCGAGCTGAGTTTGGAGAGGATGTCGGCCTCGGCGTTCTCGGCCCTTGGGATCTGTGTGATCTCGTGGGTTTCGAATGCCTTCAGCAGCTCCTCTGCTGCTTGTCTGTACTGTCGCATCCGTCCCTCCTTTGCTTCGTACGATCCCTCCACCTGGCCCACTACCAGTTTGGAGTCGCACTTGATTTTGAGGTGCTTGGCCTTGAGGCCGGCGGCGAGTCTGAGACCGCTGAGGAGGGCCTCATACTCGGCTTCGTTGTTGGATACCCTGAAGTTGAAGCGGATGGCATAGTAAGCTCTGAATCCTTCAGGGGATATGAGGACGACGCCACCACCGCATGATTTCGCGGCCGACGAGCTGTCAGTGAATAGGATCCATGTATCGTCCGACTCCGGCCCGGGGTTGGCGACGACCGTCTCCCTTGCTGTGCATTCAGTGACGAAGTCGGCCAAGGTTTGCCCTTTGATAGACGGCCTTGGCTTGATCTCAATTTGAAACTGGCTGAGGAAGATCGCCCATTTCACCATCCTAGAGGAGCTGGTGGGGCTCCTCATGAGTGCGCCAAGAGGCTGCTGGGTTAGCACATGGACGGCATGGGCCTGGAAGTAGTGCCCCAGCTTCTTTACCGTATGGACGATGGCCAGCACCGTCTTCTCAATGGGGGAGTACCTGAGCTCGGCCTCCCTGAGCGTTTTGCTGATGTAGAAGTGATAGAGTATCATATGTCTTAAACAATGAGTTGTGCTATTTTTTATCCATTTAAGTTAAGTAAATTATTTTAGATGTTACTGTTTTTAAACCTCCAATTACGTATTACATATATACTCCCTCCGTCCCCCAATTAAATTTCCGGTTTGACTTCACATATTAAGAAAATAAATTTGACTTTACTGTGGAGTGCAAATTTATATCTAGAGAGAAGTGAGAGCTAGAGAGAGAAGTGCAATAATATGCTTCAATAGAATGAATTTGTAACCCCTATAACTACTCCCAAGGGGAGTATTTATAGAGAAAATACGGGCTGGGCTCCCAAGCCTTGGGCTTGGGAGGCCCAATTACAACTGGACCGCTACTGGGCCGAATACAAAGCCACTAATGGGTTGTACGAATAAGTAAGTGTAGAATCCAGTTCTGTGGAGTCTTCGTGGCCGACGAGGGCGTGGCCGACGAGGGTACGGCCAACGAGGGTACGGCCGACGAGGGCACCCGGGTTCCTTGGCTTCAGAATCATAATCTGAGTTGGCACCTTTTCAACCGACGGGGGTTCCTTGACCGACGAGGGCGCCACTCTGTGTCTTGTGCTTTCTGTTCTTCCGAGTATGTGGGTCCGGGGGCTCAGACCCATATACTCCATCAATGACCATAAAAAATATTTTTTTTAAAAAATCAATTTTTTGTTTCAATAGCAGGGGTTGATTTTTAATGTAACTCGTGTTATTACAAATGTAACTCACGTTGATGGTAAATGTAACTTTGTGTATACATAATGTAACTTGTTCGAAAATTGAACAATGATTTTTTTTTGTGTTTGAGATATTATAAACATTGACTTCAATGTAAACCGTGAAAAATTGATCCTAATAGCTTAATTACTTTTTTATAAATAGTGAATATGTTTTATTTTTAATATTAGCGCAATAAAAATGATATGAATGGAGTTTATTTGTGGTGTAACTCGCATATATTAAGAAGTAACTCGCGTATATTAAGATGTAACTCGTGTACATTTAGATGTAACTTGTGCAAAAGAATATGTAAGCTGCCTGGGCATGAAGCCATGCATACACACACTGACACACATATAGATATATATGTTTGCACGCGCTACTATAAAACCAAAGGAGAAGGTTCAAGCCTCAGTTCGAGGTCGTTGAAGAAAAGAGGGAGCAAAGAAAATTAGATGGAAGACCTAGTAAAAATTTCAGAATCATTAATCTCCCAAGTCACTGCAGCACCAAGAGAAAAGTACTCCAACTCTTTCCCGTAATCCTCGACGAACATAATAAGCATGGGCGAAGGAAACTCTACAGCATCACATCAGCGGATCGGCCTCTGGTCACCGAAGTCGACAGCAAATTTTACAGAGCAAGGGTTTTTTGCATTTTTAATTAACAATACTACATAGTTTTGGGATCGGCACACCATGCGCATGGTGTACCGATCCCACGGTATAATTTGCCGCTCAGGAGCTTTATTTCAAGGGGTTATCGAGTTTTGCAAACCACAACAGTGAAGTTTCCAATGACCTTTTTCCGGTGGAGTCGGGGATTCGTCCGGTTGGGGAAGAAATCGAGGCAAGGGCAAATTTATCCGACGACCTTTTTTCAACGACTTGCTGCAACACCAGTTTTCAACTGAGGGCACACATGGCGGCAACCTTTCTCCTCGTCGATGGATTTCAAATCTCACCTGAAGGGATGAGATTTGAAAATGGGATTTATCCTTGTATTTGGTGTGTAAAGTCTCGACATGAATACACCTGGACAGTTTGAGGTTAATAAAATGTCTTAATTAAATACACCCAAATTTGACAAATCCTAAAATGTCTTAAAGTATCTTGAATGAATACACCCCCTAAATTACTTTTGAAAAATTATAAACATCATACTGAATTTTAATCAGCGGTGAGTGGGCCAGTAAGGGGGAGGGGGGGGGGGGGGGGGGGGTACCGATGTACCATCGTAGATGATCAAAGCAATTGTTGTACACTAGATAAATCAGAGAGTTTCCTTGGTTCAAAGTTCTAACATGGGGGGACTATCCATTTCACATTTCAGAACATAAATAACAAAAAGGGGGCAGATACCTCAACCTCAGCCAGTTTAACTTAAATGCAGCTATGACCAGCCACAAAGCTACTTTTTTTTAGTTCAACAATTTAAAATGGAGTATTGACGGTTTTATTATTCTCAGTCTTCATCACTACCGTCTTCTTTCTCATCACCCCTAAACTCTTGGTGCACCTGAGTTCTCAAAGGTACATATTGATCGTAAGAATCAAGCTGAAGGTCCCCACGATTCTTAACCAACAGCCACCGAAGTAAACGATCTTCCTTGTTCAGGTAATGCAACTCATTGTTGAAATTAGGCGGTGTCATCATCGTCATTTGCATCATCTTCCCCTACATTATTTCAGTGACAGACAGATTCTCCATCTTTCATTATTTGATTAACTGTAACTAAATGTGAACGGAAACTGCTCAAGTTGTTTTACTAACAAATGAATAAACAGACCTGATAATACCTCCCATCAAGCTTCTTAATGCCATAGCCGAGCTGGACAGTTCCGAGAGATTTTATTTCTGTGAGGACTCCATTTCTACCATAGACATGCTTCCCCACCTTAATGACCAAATCCATCAACGCCTCAACATTCATATGTGGTTTAAACAAAAGCATGCAGTCATAAAGCGGCATCTTTAATTGCTACTGCTCTTCCCTCCCCCTTCATTCAAACAAAAGCATGCAGTCATAAAGCGGCATCTTTAATTGCTACTGCTCCCTCCCCCCCCCCCCCCCCCCCACCCCTTCATTCGAAGATGTGTAATTAAATACTTTGTATAATACGGAGTAATATATAAAGTTTATTGAAAGCCTTAACAATATAATGTAACCTAAGAAATCTGTCCAAAATGATAAATAAGTTTTCATCTTTCAACCCCCAACAAGGTAAGGCAAACAGCATTCTTGTTTTAAAAAGAATAATCTAAGAAAAGAAAATTAGGAGGAAACATACAATTGTAATAATATTTACAGTCCAAAAGTTGTTAACTTAACTTAACTAAAATACCACGTAATCACAACGAAATATCCTACCAGACCATATTCCAAAGAAAAAAATGTCCCCAATGTGCTCACGACTCTTTCTAATTTCTATTTTAGGAAATAATTGACATTTTCTAATGACAATTTAACCATCAAATATTTAAAATAATGTAAAAGTAATATCACAATTATCATCAATTGCCCCATTACCTATCACCATCATCATTATATAAAAGCAAAATGTTTTGTGAACAATATTCCTGCCCAAACATTCCCATGATATAGAGAAGAACGCGAGTCCACAAGATAAGAGCCTCAAAAGTAGAAGTATTGAACAGAATATAATATGCTAACTAAAAATTTGTATCAGCTACAGAGGAGTCTTTTATTACAAAGAATTAGATTTTAAAATAAAGACAACATGTACACTAGAAACATTGATGAAAGTTAGTCAATGAGCATTCTTTAAACCAGTGATGTTAATAGCGGCGCTATTGCGCGCTATAGCGGAGGTGCGGAGCGGAGGACAAGGTTTGCGCTACCAGAAGACCTGTAGCGTGGTGTTTGGGTGTAGCAGAGAAGGCGGACGCAATAGCGGGCACGCTATTCTGATGAAGGTGGACGCTATAGCGGCGCACTTTTGGAATCGAAGTCCTGCTAGGTTAACAACTTAAAACCCTTCTACACGTGCGTAGAAGTGCAAACGCTTACAAATGGCCCCTTCTTTTGAAATACTCCGTATCTCATTCTTTCTGCTGAGCGATGACATTTCCTTCAAGAACGCCAACCTTTGCACTCCTCTTCGTTTCTTTCCACTGGTAGAATCTGTTGCTTCATCTTCTTTAATTCTTCTACTTCTGCTGCAACATCTTCTACAAGAAGATCAACCTTTGCTGCAGTCTTCTTTTCTTCTTCTCATTATTCATCTTGTACAACAAAGTTCTTTATTATCTCGTATGGAGTCTACTGCCATGTTTAAGCCCACATGAGACCAGCTTGACCCAGCTTGGAAATGGAACAGTTTAAACTCTTAAACTACAATCTTGTTTTTGATTCAATGTTTGGACTTAAGATGTTTTAATCATTAATAGCATCTCATGTTTTGCTCATGAAACTAAAGAGTATTTCTAAGTAATTTAGGATTTAAGAATGTTAAGACCAATGTTGTCAAAGTCGTGCGCCTGAGCGCTTAAGCGCACCAGGCGCAGCGCAGGATGCTCCCATCGCCCTAAACAAGTGCAGTCACACCGTTACCTCTCAAGGGCAGGTTTGGCGCAAGAAGCGCAGAAGTGCAGTAGCGCTGTTAAGCGCTCGCATAACGCGCCTGAGGGGATTTTTTTTCCTGTTAATTTCACTAACTTTCACATGTGCGCAAGAACAAAACCAACACGTACGCAAGACCAAAACCTTAAGAAGCCCATAGTTTTATCAAAGCCCAGGTAAATAAGGTCAAAACAACTTAACCTAAGCTAAACACATAACGTAAACATCCTCCCGCTCTGGCACTCTGCTCTGCTCTACTGTACCTGTTCGCTACATCCTCCTTTCCCTCCACATCAACCGCACCGCAGAAGCTTGCAGCAGTCCAGCACTCAACTATCAAAGTAAGTTTTCTTCTCCATCTTCCATTTTCTTTTCACATGTAAGAAGTACACATTTTTAAGCATGTTTAAGCATGTACACATGTAAAACATGAACAGAGTAGACAGAATAAGAGTCTACTTGTAGTCTGTATATTCTATCTTATTGTGTTATATATGCTTAAGTTTTACAGTTAGTATGTTTTAGTTAATAAGTAAATATACTTCTTGTAACTCATGAAAAAACATATGCTTAATATTTGCAGTTTGTATGTTTCAGTTAGTATGCTTAAGTATAGTATGCTTAACATGTTTTACTTTAAACATGAAAGCATAGTATGTTTCAGTTAGTATGCTTAACTATGTTTCAGTTAGTATGTTTCAGTTAGTATGCTTAAGCAGGGGCGGATCTAGCTTTGGCATCCAGGTGGGGCCAAAATTTAATTAAAAACGAATATTCAAAAAAACATTTATTCTAGCAACAAAATCAAAGACAAAAACAAAAGATTATAGGAATAAGAGTTTTCATTAAAGTCAAATACAAAAACACCATAATTTTAAAACTGTTCTCTACGGGTTTTCATTGATTGATATTGTTTGATAATGACATCATTATCAATTTTCAAGAAGATTCTTTTTCTACATAAACAATAAGTCTATTATTGAGTCAGTCATCACTCATCCGGTTGCTCAACCTATATTTCTACGTTGTTTTGTTCGTCATTTGTTGTTGAGATTTCATGAATTATAGTTAAGTCCATTAGCTTTTTCTTCAACATGGTTATAGTATCTCTTCATTACCTTTATTGAAAATAATGGGATGACTAATTACTACACTAATATTAATTAACTTAATAATTAGAATAATAAGAACAGGCCACAAGCAAATTCAGACTATAAATGATAATTACAATTTAAAAGTTTACAAATAATAATCGAATTCATATCAAGCAAACCTGTAATTTAGTCTTTAACTTGAATTTAAAACACAATAAAATTAAAAGATTTTAAAAAATACCTTGAATTTAGGACTTAGGCAGCCTTCTCACTTCTCATGAATCAGGCACATAGCCTTGTTTTCTTCTTAGTTGACCTTCAGAAAAATTGCACTCTGATTTGCTTCAGCCAATTGAATCTGCCATTGTATATTTGTTGACAAAATTTACAATAAAAAAAGAATTACTAAAAAAAAGATGGTTGATTTTTTACATAATTTTTTAAAGTAGTATTATTATTATTACTAGCAATTGATTACATGACAAGACCAAGGGTTAGTTAGGAAGGCAACTACTAAAGCAACCTTACAAATAATTTTCTGAGAAGCAAGGAAGAAAGAAAGGGTAAAAATGTACAGTTTCAATGGGGTGTGAGAGACATACCTTAGGATGCAATTATGCAAAGCCTTGCAACCACCACAACCTGGCGAATAGAAGTCAACAATGACCGAGTGCGCCGTCTACCAAAGAGAAATTAGAGCAGCAGTCGCCGGTGCGTCGTCCGAGACTCCGAGTGCTGAGCGCCTGAGCCACCGTGCGCCGTCCTGGCCGTCCGGCAGAGACCGAAGATGGACGAGGGCTGCTGCGTGCTAGATTTCTAGGTCGGGAATTGGTTTTTGGCCTTGGGGGTTTTGCGAACTTAGGTGGGAAAACCCCAACAGAAACCCCGGAAACGGGCCTGGCCCGGCCAGAATTATATATAGGTCCGCGTTTTTTCTTTTTGACCGGCCCGAATAAAAAAAGCCCGGACCGAACCCGAAATTTCGGGCTTTTTAACGGGCTCTAAAATCTATAACTCGACCCGGACCGATAAAACACGAAACAATTAGCCTTAATATAAAATCAATATAATATACCAATATAATTTATAAATTAATTCATAATATATGATTATAATCATGATAGATGAAAAATTGACTTAATAACTTTTAGTGACTACAAATATGTTCAATTTATTTACCGTAATGACCATGAAAACATATTTATAGTAACTTTAGTCACATTTTTATCCATAATATTTATTTCATAACATTTTTAGAACACCTAAATTACTTATTTTTATGCATCTTAAACAAAATATTATGATAATTGTCTTCTTTGGATTTGAATTCTTGGTGATATTGGAGACTAATATTTGTGATTTTTATTAATTTTATTTGCGGTTTGTACTTTTTATTAATTTTATTTGAAAATAGATTTTAAAATATAAAACATTTTATTAATTTTATTTGACAATAGATTTCAAAATATAAAACAAAAATGAGTGATTTAATCCCAGAATAATCTCACATTTGCACCTCATCTTCTTTCGTTGGACCCTGACCTGTTGATGACCTACTATACCAGGTTTTTTACCCTTTCTTTAAAAACCTCATATAAATAATTTCACTTTCACAAATCTGTTCAAAACGGTCTCATGTTTCATTTTTTCTTTTTTTCCCTTAAACTTTTCTTTCTTTATTTTCATCCCTAGACATTTTTTTATCTTTTTCTGTCATTTTGTTCTTATTTCTTTTCAATTTATATTATTTTTATTTCTCACTCTATTAGGAGAGATTTTTTTTTTGTAAAATTTCTCTTCAAAATAGCTCTTTTTTGTCGGTTTCTTTTTCTCTCCGTATTTTTATTTCATTTCCCTTTTTATGTTTTTCTTCTTAATCATTCTCTTCTTATTAAAGATCTTATTTCAAAAGTGAAAATATAAAAGTGGAAAAGTGAAAAAAAAAAGTAAAGTGAGAAAAAGATCTTCAATAAGAAGAGAATGATTAAGAAGAAAAACATAAAAAGGGAAATGAAATAAAATATGGAAAGAAAAAGAAAATGACAAAAAAAGTTACTTTGAAGAGAAATTTTACAAAAAAAAAATCTCCTAATAGAGTAACAAATAGAATAATAAAAATGGAAAAGAAATAAGAACAAAAGGATAGATAAAGGAGTTAAAAGTGTCTAGGGATGAACATAAATTAAAGAAAAAAAAATTTAGGGAAAAAAAGAAAAAAATAAAAGATGGGATCGTTTTGAACAGATTTGTAAAAAGTGAGATTATTTATAAAATGTTTTCAAAGAAGGGTAAAAAAACTGGTATAGTAGGTCATCAACATGTCAGGGTCCAATGAAAAAGATGAGATGCAAAAATGGGATTATTCTGCGATTACGTAAAGGTGGGATTATTATAAGAAGATCAGTGAAAGGTGAGATTATTCTTGTCAATTTTCTCTTATTTAAATAGGTCTGATCTATTTAAGTCTAGTGTGATATGGGACTGAAAACAGGCCAAGTAAAAACATTCTAAGACAAGACTATGTCTTTGAAACCTTGTTCACAAATCACATTTTTCCACATGAGGAGAAGTAAAGAATAGCTTGGAACAAAATGGAACACAAAGAGATTAGGGTGAACATAGGGATGGACCGGTCCGATTCTAACCGGCCCAGAAACCTGCCCGGATCGCCACTGTGCGGGACCGGACCGGCCCGATTGTCCGATGTCGGGACCGGTCAGTTGGTCCCGAATCGGGGGGCGGGATACGGGCCCTACAAAGTGGTGACCGGCCCGGCCGGTCCGGACCAACATTCGAAATTTAAAAAAAAACCTTTTTGAACTTTTAAAGCTTTGTGGGGTGTCCAAGGACTCAAACGGCTCTATAGCCGTTGGAGACTCCTACGGGTGGGGGTAAAAAATTCCTATAGATACTCCTAATTTCTAAATATTTTTTATACCTATTCTCCAATTCTATCTACTCTCCAATACTATTTAATGATCTCCAATTCTTCATCTTCATCTTCTCCAATTCTCTCATTAATCTATACACCTATTAATATATCATATTATTCTTATCTATCTAAATTAGTTATACAATTATTATATCTACTTATATATTTATCTACTTATAAATACATATATTATATCAACTTATATTTATTATCTACATAATATCTACTTATAAATACATATATTACATCTACTTATATTTATTATCTACTTAATATATACTTATTATCTATATTAATATCTACTTAATATATTACGTAGTACATTTTAAGATGGAACATGGTAGATATGGGTAACCTTCAACGCAAAGGTAAAGGACATATCGGGTCTTTTTCTCAAAACTGAGATGATTTTGACACAAATTATGACCCGAGAGATGCGATTTACAAGGAAACCCCCAACGAGGTACAAGGCCATCAGTAAAAGCCCTGACGAGGAAACACCCGACGAGGACGAAAACGATAAGCAATGTCGATATCTCATTATGAAAAACAATTACACAGAATGGAAAGAAACGACAAATAAAATGTGGTGGGCAACTTGTTACCATTGTAACGAAAAAGTTTGCTTGGGAATTTCGCATGGATACGTAGGCGCGGATAGGCATTTGAGGACAAACCACCCCAAGGAGTATGCAAAAGTAAAAGCCAAAGGGACGCGAAGTATTTTTTCTCGCTTTTTTAAAATAGACTATTAAGTATTAACTATATTATCAATTGTACTTCATATTTCAATATATATGCATTGATTTTTTTTTTTACTTCTTGAATTAATTTTATTAACAACATTCACAAAAAAAACAGCTCGACCTGGCCCAACCCGAGACCCGGGCGGGTAGACCAAACCGGACCGGTTCCGGTGGCTTCCCGAGCCGGTACCGGACCTTACTCCCTAAAAATTGGTAACGGCCGGGCCGATCCCGGGTACCAGACGGAACCAGTATCGGTCCAACCCTAGATGTACAAGAACTATACAATCAAGAGCATTAGTGTTAAAGTATTTGTCTCACATCGGAAAGCTATAAAAACAACAAAACATTATACAAGTCTTTGGGCTGTTCCTCCTATTAAGGTTGTCCTTTTAGAGTGGAACCTTGAGTCTTAACATGGTATCAGAGACAACTCCGGTTGTGATTTGACAGTTTGTTTAGCACTCGTGACTAAGGTCGCTTGTTAAGGGCTTGTTTGGCCCATGTATACACCCCGATATTGTCCAGCCCGGTTCGGGCTGAGGGACGTGTTAACAGCATTTGTTGCACATCGGAAAGCTATAAAAACAATAAAACACTATATAAGGTTTTGGGCTAGAACTTTTAGGATGGAACTCCGGGTTTTAACGATTAACAATTGAAAAAATTGCCCTAAAAGAGACTAAAACATTGTCTAAATTCCACAATAGGACTTCAAGTTTATTATTCCCTAAATAATACTAAAGATTACATTTTTACCCCTCATTGACCTAACCAACTCATATCCTCTGCCTTCTACTATGGCCGCACTCCGCCATTCATATCATCGCTGGAATTCATCTTTATTCTACCATGGCCGCACTCCCCCATCGATCGTAGCCTCACAGCACCCTAACTCTGCCGTCGACGACAGGTATATACTCTTCTTCTTCTTCTTCTTCTAATGCTCTGTTTTTCTCTTCTTCTTCTTCATCCTAGTTCTCTGCTTTTTTTTAGTTTTTATCAACAAATTTAAATAAAATTATGAATTTTGAATGTTTTCAAATGAAGATATATCTCAACTTGAATTTCTTGTTATCAATTTTGATAAATTTGAATCTCAAAATGCCTTGACCTTTGATTCCTGAAAATGCCACTTTTTGAATAAGAGAATGTCATAATTATTGGGTATTTTTAAAATATGTCACTTTTATGTCATTACAATATTTGAAAATGCCATATTGAGAATGTCATGTTTCTATACGAAAATGTCATTCTTGTGTCATTATACATATTAAGTGGCATTCTCGCATATGAAGTGACATTCCTCATGGAGGTCTGCACAGACTCACTGGAGGGCAGATCTTTGTTGGAGTCTTGGAGAATGATGACAGTGTACTTGCTGAGGGGTGGCGATGGTGTAAAACTTGATGGATGGTGGCAAAGACACCATTGGTGGAGGCGTCGACCTAGGGGTGGACTCGGGCCGGGCCAACCGGCCCGGAACCGGACCGGCCCGCTACTGTGCGGGCCCGGACCGGCCCGGTGAACCGGTTGGTTGGCCGGTTCGGGCTACCCATCCCGGTGGGATGGTGGTCCGGGCTATATTTTTTTTTTTTGAATTTTTTTTAAGTTTTTGGGTTGGGCTGGGTATTTTGGGCCATTTGAGGTGGTTAGGGTTGGTTTGGGGGTGAGGGGGAGGGTTGGGGGTTAACTAGGAAAAGCCAAAAAAAAAAAATTAGAACCGAGGACCGGCCCGACCCGGACCCGCGGGGGTTACCCGGGCCGGTTCCGGGCCTCCCATTCATGAACCGAGGCCCGGCCGGGCCCAGGCCCGAACCGACTCCGAACCGAAACCGGTCCATCCCTACGTCGACCTCTTGGAGGCCGCCTGCACAAAGGCACACGAAAACCTGCACCATCAAAGGTAGTCATGAACTCGGGCCGGGTCGGGCCCGGGCTGGGCCTAGGCCCGGTCGGGCCGCCGGTTCATATCATATGGGCCCGGGACCGGCCCGAGGGTTGGACGGGTCCGGTTCGGGCCAGGCCACCCGCCCGGGTCACGGGTCGGGTCCGGTTCGGGCCGGGCCGGTTAAAGTTTATTTTTATATAATTTATATTTTATAGTTTATACTTTATAGTTTTATACGAGTATTAAAAACAAACTTCAAGTGCATTTATTTGAAATGAAATAGGAACTACATTTGAAAATT